CAGGAAAGCAAGTCAGATATAGTAAACTGATTCTACGACTTCATGACGAACTACCACGTCAGTCTGCTCAGTGTATCAATATCTCAGAGCTTTGGTCGAGTTTTCAACTTTAACTGATTTGAAGAATCGTTCCTTTTAATACCCTCCTGTTGCGCAACTATCCGATTGAAAAATGGAAAGGAGACAAATTTTCGTTTTCCTGCAGTTGAAGTTTACATCTTTGGCTTGACAACGAGGACTTCTGTTATAAATTAATACTGGGAAATTGAGTTACAAACACTTACTGGCGCGTTAGAAGTCCAGTTGTAATTAGCAGCAACTGGAACACCATTGCGGTCTTCACACATGTAAATCCCTGCCTGGCTCAGACGGTAGTGCTTGAAACAGGTCTGACCATTTTTGGCCGCATCCATGTTGAGCTTGTCTGTAGGGCGATACTGCTGACTTTTAGCATTGACGTCACCACTCTCAACAAACCGATTATCACCAGTTTTGGAACCAGAAGATAAAAGGAAATAATCCTTGCCATCTCCGCTGAGGATTTCGTAGTAAGCGATGTTGTTTGGTTCAAGATCTTTTCGGTATACTGGTCGTGGCCCGTCTTTAGCCAACAAATTGGCACTTCCTAGACCTGTGAAGTCTTTTTCCGTCATCAGATCTAAAACTGTATCTTGGGCTTCATATGAAAGAAGTGCACAGAGCGCTGGTGGCGTTGCCATGGAGACAAGGACCAAGAGCGCAATCAGCGTCAGGGTACTCATTCAGTGCTTGGGTCAGCTATTTAGAACATAAGTGCTTTATAAGTTACTACAGATACTTTAAACTGAAACTTGTCCACTACTGATGTTATTGTTATCATGCTGCACATTTTCTTGTGGGATCAGTTATAATGCTCTCATTTTGTGACAAGGACATAGCTTACAACGATTGACATGAATAAGCACACTACCGATAAAATCATGTTAACAATAAACAAGTATTTTTTTCAGGAAATATTCTCTTGAAAAAAAAATCAACTTCAAGAAACAAAACTTAACCCAAACATAGAATATTCTCTATTTTCCATGATAGATCAGTGAATGGAAGAAAAATTCACTTATCAGTATCGAAGAAAATTTGCTCTATACCGAAAAAAGTCAAGCCTGTTTTCCTTCTCCTCTCCGTTCTCGAAAAAAAGAGAGATAAACGAGGCGCTTCTCGTAGGGAGTGCCTGCAGCACCCTACAAGGACAGCTTTACTTACTTTCTTTTGAAACTGTTTGAATTCATAAAGCACTTACTCAAGCTCGCGTTTCAACTCTTCCTCAACTGGTCTATTAACCTCTTTCCACTTCTACTGCAGTTCAGGTTTGCTTTTAACAAGAAGATGGATTGCAGCCTCTTTATATGTTTTCTCCCAGGTTCCTGATTGTTTTCCATTTTTCTCGCCGCTTTAAATGGAGTTTACTCAGGTGCTGCATTTTCAAATCTCCTAATTATCCAATGTTTTTACTATCAAATACAGCTTGCTACTTTTCTGCGTAAGTTTCAGAATATTTGTCTCTGAAAAAGCCATCTCAATATACCACAATATAGATCAATAAAAGATCAAACACAATTCTCGTTTCTGACTTGAGACCGCGGCTTGAGGCAACGTTTGAAGTCGGTACAATATAAGGACGGTAAGGACAAGAAATTTAAAAGGCTCAGCCCAGACTATGGAAAGAGAATCAGGACTAAATGACTATTATGACGACAACTATAATGATGATAATCAACAAATAAAAAACAATGTCATAACCAGCGCTGTGTTTCACACGCTATCCCATCCTCTTTGGCAAACACTGATGATCAGTCAAGCTAATAATTGGTTGGGTTTCTTAATGCTTAAAAAGGACGGATCCCTCTAAACAAAATACAATTTGATGAACTTTTCGTATTAAAAGCGAGGTTCTTATAGTTGGCCCTCGATATGCATTTTGTTTTTTCTCCGAGGCACTTGGTTCCTATTTTTCTCGTCATTCGAACTCTCTGTAGGCGGGTATCACATGAGTTCTACGCTGAAACCATCTAATTGCTTTAATTAGTCGCGGTCAAATGCATTTGCAATTGCAGCTTGCCTTTTTTCTAAATCCATTTGAATCTGTTTGGCTTTTAAATTGCTCGATTTTTCAATATTTAAACAGGAAATAGTTTCCTCTGGAATGACTGCTTGGAACCACCGTACAAATGATATCTTTGGCAGCCGAGAAAAGCAAAATAAGGAAAATAAAACGAAGAAAATTTCAATTCCTTTACATGTTCAAAATGTCTTGAAGGTAATAAGTGCAAGACATCCACCTTGTACGGTTTGGAGCCTTCAGTTTTCATTCTTTTTCCACCCAACATATGATTCAGATTATGCAAACACTACTTATGATATCACTCGACCGAAACAAATGGTTGTTTATATTTCATAAGTGTATGACGTAAATATATATTTTTTGCGTAAGTAAGATATGTGCTGAGCTCTGACAAATTTAAAAAGCCGTTAACTTCTAGGTCTTCTAGCTTTTTCCAGCCATCTCCTTTGAGACAAATCAAGCTTACAAATCAACAAAACTTCCAGAGCGAAAAAGGGGAAATGCACGCCAAATAGCAATTTTCTTATCCCGTCACCATCTTAACTAACATAAAAGGTTCCTTTATGGATATCGCTTGTTGGCCTTGGGATTGGGAATGGTTTATTTTAAAATCTGAGTTCTCTACCTAACATGAGATAAGAATTAAATTCGTTTAGACTTTCCAAAATAGTTTGACTGATAAACTTACTATGATGAAAACCGATGAGCATTCTAACCAAATGAGGAAACAGAATGACTTTTTATGGGCAAGACAAAGAAATCAATCTAAGCAGTATATTTTTCTTTCTCAAACACTTGGCAGTGTTAAGAGGGCAATTAAATACAAACTAACGCAGGAGTATCGACTTTTCTAACCACAAATGTTATAGCGGTTTCTGATCTCCGGTTGAGGATGATTGTACAGGGTTTGGTTCTTAATCAGATCTCAAACTCCCGAAATGATAGCAACGACGAGCTGATCGACAATTTTGAAATGATCCCCACGTGGAACCCAATATGACCCTAATTCCGAAATGATTTCCATTTTTTTATTCTTAACTTAATTTTTGTAACCCTTACCCTGATATAATCCCCAAGGAAATTTCGGAACGGAATATTATGAAATCTGATGACTTAAACAAACAGAAGGAAAAAGGTTCGATTTTGAATGCACTTTTCACGTATTTATTCAGGTATTTATAACATCCATTTTGCATAGATGTTTAAACGATGAATCTCTTTCAACGAAATACTAGCAATAAAAGCAGCGTTATCTTTTGAGTTCCTAGTGTGAAGCTGGAAATACTTGAGTTACTTTCTCACCCACCGGCCAGTAGGAACGGAAGAAACAACAAACAGTTTTCTTCACATGAGCTAATTTTCCGCTGAGTTCTTGGCCGGTAGATTTGTGACAGCAGCATTTCAACTGTAGCGCCTGGCCCCACAATGAACTCATCACATGTTGGCGTCCAATGTCGGTCCACTGAATAATGACAGCACATCACCAAAGTCCGTGATTAACAGTGGTCAAAAAACCATTCAGGCAAAGTTAAATTCGAGCTATGGACTAGTCAGCGGTCCATCAGTAAAGTGGTTTGTGGGATCGCCCGCTGGAAATTCCAGGGAGTGCTGCTTTGCCTGCCTTTGCTAGCTTGCTTGCCTTTCGCAATGTCTAAGGCTCTCCTTCTCCGTCGCGTTTGTTTTCGACCCACCCTCCAGCTGGATAAGTACGAGAGTAGGTAGGTATGGTAGGTTTTCCACTCAACCTCTCAGTATGCCGTGTGCACGGGTTGTCATGGTAACCTCTGAACACCCGTCAGATTCGGCTCGCTACCTAGCCCCTCACCCTGTGACAACTGATGCCATGCTCCTCTCTGGCGATGAGTTTAATCACGTGCTAGAGTCGAATGTCTGTCCACTGAATACTGACGGCACATCCATCAAGGCACCTATAGTCAGTTGTGCTGCTCTCTCAAACTGTCTTGAGATAGTGTCGTTATCCTGCACGAAACAATTGTGATAACTGTCAGTGAGTACACACTCAGCAGATACCCTTTGAATACAGCCCATGAAGTCACAGTATATTGGCTACTTAGCGCCATAGTTATTGAATCGAATTATACCTCTGTTCTGTTGTTGAGAACTGGCGAAACAAACACACCAAAACAAGTGACGCCTTGTTCATGAATGTAGGACTTGAGATCTTCTGTGGCCATCTGTTAATAAACGAAAAGGAAGTTCTAAAGGGTGGATAACATTCAGGGACACTGTACTTATGGTCAGCTGTCTGTCGTGCGCTATTTCTGTATCCTAGTTTGCAATTTGCCAATCAGAAGTCTGCAGATCTTGACATGAAGTCACCGACCTGTTATGACCAAATTTGAGCAGGGTATACACTCAATCGTTCTTTTTAGGTACGGTTCGGCGGCATATCAGGCTCGTTTGGTGTCGCTTAAGACAAAAAAACAGAAAATGTATCGGATGCACATGAGCCATGCTATACATCAGTATGAACAATGAAATAAACAAAAAGAACAAGCCAGTTAACCTTGTGTGAATTGAACTCCTCCTTGTTGCTATAGAAACGGACATTCACCAGCCTCGTGTGTTTTATCAGGCAAGAATCGAGTTTCTGACAGATGTTTCGAAGAAACCACTTTACATTTTCTGTATTAAAGCTCTGGAACAAAACATCAGGCAATTTTCGTTACGTTTGCATTCTTCGCGTGATTGAGTGCATCGTACAACCTTAGTTATAGTAAGAGAAACCATGTAGTTCACCATGTAGGCAAAAATGAGTAACCAGTTCCCGGATGACAGAGAAGGATGTAATATGACACTACAAATTAATTTGATTCATAACATATAAATATCACAACCCTGACATTACTGCCGTGGGTCGATTGCTGAGGGTCAAAGTCAAGGGTATCGGCTGTCGCTGTGTCCAGGTCGAAATGGTGCACTGAACAGCAAGCGAGAAATTCTATAAAAATTACAGAACTAACGGTTGTGATACCACATGGTTGTGACACATGGTCAAATACTCTACCTCGGTAGATTCTTTTTCATCAGATCTTGTACTCTCTGATAGATATACAATCGATATACAGCCCGTGGAAGCCTTAAACTTGGAGTTAATCTGGGACGCCTGTGAAAATGCATCACAAATCATGACTGTGAAACCATATTATGACTTTGATTCAGGCTGCTTGTCAGTAAGTAATATCATATATCAGTAACATCGTGGATCGGATTTGCGAGTTTGTGACATTATGTCATGGATTCAAATGAGATGTCTGTGAAATCACATCAAGGTTTGAATGAGATGCCCATTTGCCAATTGAAACAAATTATGTCTGTATAAAGTGTGTATATTTAACAATTAGACCCGTAGCCCGCAAGGGCTACGGGTCAATAGCCCATGAGGCGAAGCCGAATGGGCTATTGACCCGTGGCCCTTGAGGGCGA